TTAATTCAATGATCAAGGGTATTCAGGCTAACAAACCATCTATGTCAGGAATAGAGTATTAATAAAGTATAAATCCCTCTTAGTCTGATTCCAAAGAATTACTAATGTTCGAACTCAGGACATCTGAATTTACAACTAGGTCTCTATTATTACTTGAACTACCCTTAAGATTAACCTATTATACACTCAAATGAGATCTATTATATATAAATACGTCTCTCACTCCCTAATGATGAATAATTTTTCAAGAATAAAATTTTTAAAAAATGTAGGCACCCATTAAGCCCAATTTAAATAGTCAACATCAGTCTTGGATCCTATAGTTTTTTCTTTCCTTCAAAAACTTTTCTTGTGGAAAGTTCTGCAGCAGAGACAACTGCATCAACAATTCTTTAACAACAAAGACCAAGACACCTTTGACTGGAAAGTCATTTGTGGAACAGTATTGTATGCAACACATTGGTCTGTCTTTTCCTTTTGTTTTATGGAATCACAGTCGAGAGTGTGTCTTTTTAAGTAGAATTACAAATTGAGCATCTACTCTCTCTATGTTTTCTTCACACTCATGCCTGTAAAAAACAATGTTTTAGGGCCCACTATGCCCAACTACTTGATATGTTAATGTAAAACGAGACATACAATACAAGTATAGAAAGTCTACTCTATGAATAGTAGTAGGATACCCTAAACATCTTCATTGACATTTTCTAAATGATTTATGGTCATGGTATTAACAATCGACTAGAAAGATACTAAGATTCATGGATCGTAAGCGTCACGTAATAGTATCATTCAAAATGCATCAAATATTAGATCGAAGAATAAGTTAGACATAACGAGAAATTCATGTCATATAACAAAGTTCTAGAATAGTTTCAGACAATATCACACATTGATTGAGTTCATTCGAAACTTAACTTTACCCAAAAACTCCTCAATTTGAGTAGTACGATGCTTAAGATTTTTAAATTGAGTCGAACTCAAGCTATACAGCCCGAATTAAAATTAAAGACATTTTTTAGTTGAAAACCTGGTTCAAATTGAAATGCAAAATTGGATTAAATTTGATTTAATTTAAAGAGAAAGTCTACCTTTTTTTAGTAGAGTATTGAAAATTATAACTTTCTATGGTAAAATTACACTTTTAACGGAAAAAGTTGTATTTTCTCCGTTATGAGTCATAACTTGTCCTTTAAAACTTGTAGCTTAAACTTAAAAATTATAATTTTCAGTATCGATCACAATCTTTTATAATTGATCATGCTCTTTACAAATTATAACTTACACCTTATAAAATTATAATTTAACCTCAAAAATTATAATTTTTGGTACCGTATAATTGTAGTAACATAGCATTTACCTAATTTGAATTGTGCTCGAACCCGTACCCAAACTTAAAGCCGCCTCATCATCGTTGAGAATCAATTTTAGGACTTGACTATGATACCAAATTTTTTTGCATATAGTATTTTTATTTATTATATTTGTGGATATTTTTATAATTATTGTTGTACCCAAAAAAATTATAAAAAAAATTACTACAATAGTAGCAAAAACACCCACAAAAATAGTAATTTTTTTTTTAATATAGGAAAAGTGATAAAAATAGTTATCACAACAGTAATAAAAATACTCACAACAGTAATAAAAATATCTATAAAAGTAATAAATCACCTACAAAAATAATAAATTTTATAAGAGTAATACTATTTGAACCTAAAAATTTGACTTAATTTGCTGACATAATAATAATGTGATTTCAATAGAGTCATTAGATCAACACCCAATTTTAATGTTTGGTGGGCCTTACAGTTAATACAAATATCAACAAATTAGGTTTCAATAACATTGATTATTTTATAATTACAAAATAACCCACATAAATTATAAAAACACCTATTAAAATAATAAAAATCAAATATATAGTACAAAAAATTATTTTTCAATATGGAATGCAACATATATCTTGAACTTGGAATATACAATAGAGGAAGTACACTTTGGTCCTACCCATGCGCATACTTGTTGTAGAAAGCAAAGAAATTGTAAAAATTTTCAAAGATAACCGAATTGAAAAAGATGTTTAGCCAACGATGACAAAGGTCAGCTAAAGATTAAAGTAATTAATTAACTAATTAGCCTAAGCCCAACACCGCATTGGTTAGCGGATAATCCAAACCCACCACAATCATTTCTTTTTAAGATACATCCAACTTATACATCTTCCATAACCTCGTCATTGAGGGGTGATTTTTGGGACCCATGTCTCAAATTCACATGCTATTTACACGTAAGCATGTGAATTTTAATTTGAATTCAATCCAAATATGAGTTCATTTAATTAGATATAAATTAATATTTGAATTTATTTACTTGAATTCGATTAAGTTTTTTTAAACGGATTAAAATTTGAATACATAGAAACTCAATCCAATATATATATATAATTGAGAGAAATTATTATATATACATACGTACTTAGTTAGATTATTAATGAAATTGACATGAAGTTAAACATAAATTATTGAATAGAATGATTGGTCGACTAAATTAGGTTGAAAGTTAACTTCAATTTGATAAAATTATTTTTTTTATGAAATTTTCCCGAGATTCAAATTTTTAGATCGGATCAAGTAATCAAATTAGATATCCGATTATTAACAGATGCGAATATGGAATAAGATTTCAAAATCCATCGAGTAAACGAGTTGGATTCGAAACTCATATTTTTTTATCGAATTTAGATATGAACAGATCAATATCTAATCCAGATCCAATACGGACAATCCTTATTACATGTTATTATGGCAATTTCTATTACCAAGAAAAAAAAATTAAATTAAATTAAATTACCATGGATTCTAGAATGAGAGGTCTCATTTTTTAGTTAATATTCAATACAAGAGTGACATTATGTCATTAATATCACGTAGCGTTGCTATTTTTTACATAAGATAATTACCAAATGACATGAATAAATGGTTACTAAAATGTGTAAGATTTACTTGTTCATTTATTATATTCTTATTAAATATTATTATTTTTTATTCACTGTTACATTAAATATTTTCTCCTGGCGGAGAAATATATTGCTTCTATTTGACCTCCCACACAAATTGTTGTCTCATGGGCCAATTGAAGTTTACTGTGCTACTATACTTATCCACTTAATCCAGATAGATAATGTTTACCCATCCCCCAAGCACTTACTAGAGTGTGAGTGTGAGTGCGTGGCAGAATCAAGTGGGACGGATGTAGAAATTGACATACAGCTAGCTAGCTAGCTAACTTAGAAAGGACTCCAAGTAGATAACATCTTTTAAAAGGCCTNTCTATACTTATCCACTTAATCCAGATAGATAATGTTTACCCATCCCCCAAGCACTTACTAGAGTGTGAGTGCGTGGCAGAATCAAGTGGGACGGATGTAGAAATTGACATACAGCTAGCTAGCTAGCTAACTTAGAAAGGACTCCAAGTAGATAACATCTTTTAAAAGGCCTCAAGTTGCAAACATCCTTTGCTTGGCAAAGCAAACATTATAATTGCAGAATCCCCCTAAATTGGCCCACATAACTTCCTTTTGTAACGCATTCATCAAATTACTGCTGTATAGCTGAGACTTCCTGGTCAAAGNCAATCCCCCTAATTGGCCCACATAACTCCCTTTTGTAACGCATTCATCAAATTACTGCTGTATAGCTGAGACTTCCTGGTCAAAGTATACAGGCTGATTAAGTATTACCACTATTTAGTAGCAGCCCAATTTCACTGTGGCAACATAAATAGAAACAGAACAAAAAGAAGAAAGTAGCAGGAATGTGTAACTATCAACCCCCAATTCCAACTATAACATTCCCAATGAAAAGACTTGAAATTTCTAGCACAGTAATTCATTAAAAAGACGAGCAATGCTATGAATCCCAAATTGGAGATCCAAATCGCACTAATATCAGTGAATTCCGGTAATTTTTTCAACATTACCCACTCATGCGGAGTGGCTACTCATTTAACTAAGTCAAATTTTATATCTCAANTTTCCCAATGAAAAGACTTGAAATTTCTAGCACAGTAATTCATTAAAAAGTCGAGCAATGCTATGAATCCCAAATTGGAGATCCAAATCGCACTAATATCAGTGAATTCCGGTAATTTTTTCAACATTACCCACTCATGCGGAGTGGCTACTCATTTAACTAAGTCAAGTTTTATATCTCAATCATTTGAAAATTCGAATCCAAAGTATTTCCCAAAAACTTAATTCATACTCGCACTTCTGAAAAATAAGTTACCAAAGTCGAAAGAATTAAAAATATTGTAGATGTACATCCCTAGTTTACCAATGAACAAATCTGAAAGCGCAATCGAAGTAAAATCTGAACAGGCTTACACTTCAAACATAGCTGATATAATTTAGGCCTCATAAATTTAAGTTTCATAACATTCATAGAACAAAATAAGAGGGAGNCAAAGAATTAAAAATATTGTAGATGTACATCCCTAGTTTACCAATGAACAAATCTGAAAGGGCAATCGAAGTAAAATCTGAACAGGCTTACACTTCAAACATAGCTGATATAATTTAGGCCTCATAAATTTAAGTTTCATAACATTCATAGAACAAAATAAGAGGGAGTGAAGGAATGAACTGCAACTCTCAACACTCTTCACCAGTAATGTCCCCTTTCTTAACAAGAGAAGAAGGGGGGAAGACAAAAAGAAAACGGGGGTGGGGGGGAAGGTTGGACATCCATTGGATAGCTCTAACAGCACGGGGAAACCCAAAGGATTTTTTTTCTGTCCATACAACTGAAATGAGCTCACATCCCTCACATGAACCTCTCTCTCTCTCTCTCTCTCTCTCTCTCAACAAACAAACAAATAAACTCTCAGAACAAAACTTTTTTCAAGAACTTCAGCTTACTGTTCTTGAGATACTCTCCAGAACTATAAAATTTAATTGTGAATTACTAATACTAATTCCTACTAGCTTTCAAAACTCATAGGCATGCAATATTGAGTGGCTCTTTCACAATGGGAGCTGGTTCATCCATCCAAGCCAACACTTCATTCCCAACCTCCAAATTGAAATCAAAATCAAAATCAGGCAGATCACACGGGCCATCATCCTCAAACCCAACAATTTGGAGGTCATCAAGTCCACAAAAATCGTCAAGAGCCTGCCCAAAATCATCGATAAACAGCGAATCAAGCTCCATCCCCAAATTCAATCCTTGCCCAACCTCAGCCAGCAGTGAAGAATCATCCAACAAAACCGCATCAGCAACCTGCCCCTCAACTCCATTGGCCTCCACACCAACATTATCAAGAATTTTTTCCATGCAAACATCTTCAAACATATCAGATTTTCCATTGATTTGTGAAGTTGAGGCAGAGGTCAAAGACTCCAAATCAAGAACCAAAGAAGGGGATGTGTGAGACACCACACTCCCAGAGTCCTCAGAAACAGCAGGGTGGTTTTGATCACAAGGCTGAGAGACAAATTCTGAGGAGGCCATAGACTCAAATTCAAGCCTCTTCATATCAACTGCCTTAGCTGCGTCCTCACGAGTATCATAAGTCCCCAACCAAATCCTCCTCCTTTGAAATGGGTCTCGAATCTCTGCCGCCCATTTGCCCCATTTCCGCTGCCTAACTCCCCTGTACATCGATGAAGACGGTCGTCGTCGTTTTGAACTTGGGTTTGGATTTTTCCTCAAAACCTTCGTCTCGTTCAAGGGTTTTTCGCCATTGTTGCTATCTTGACATGAACTCTCCATTTCTGGACTCTTAGAAGGTTTGGATGATTTGGTTGGTCCATGAGAAGTATCAATTGGAATCTTAATCTCTCGAATAATACGTTTAAGGGATGGTCCCTCATAGATTCGTTCATCGTCTGATGCATCAGTAGCGTATGGATCATAATTAATTATCCGAATTTTTCTCATGGTTTTGGTGGCTTGAACAGAGTTTGCTCTGCTCTTTGATTTTTTGCAGAGGTTATTTTGATTCAATGGTGGCTGTTTACGAGGCTCTGGCATTTTCTATTAATCTATACTCAGAAAATACCAGAAAAACTGTGTTTGGAAGAAAAGAAAAGAAAAACACAGTAGAAATGATATAGAGCAACAAATTCTCTCAGGAAAAGGGGTGTATCAAGTAAGAGGTCCTCTTAAGAACAAGAAGAGATAGAAACATCGCTTTATGTGAAAACCCCCAAAATACACTACTCCAGAACAAGTCCTGCAAAAACCCCAAAAAAAACCACCAAAACAACACAAACCCATTTCAGATCAGCCATTAAAATCATCAAAAAACATACACACTAAACAATAAAAACATATAGCCACCAAAAATATGCACATACAGATATAAGATACAGTAGGGGTTAAGAAAGATTTAATACCTTTTTGGCCTCAAACGCATCGAAACAGTTGGGAAAAACAGGTTGGTGCTCTCCTGATGAACACAGAGAAGTTGTTGTTGCATGCAAAGAACAAAGAACACAGAAGAACAAGAGAGCCAGAGCTTCAATGGAGCCCCAATCAAACTCAGTTCAGACCCTGCCGGCATAAATCTCTCCCACAACTTTTTCTCACAAAACCCACTTCAGAAATCTCAAACTAAGAGCAGGGAAGAAAAGAAAAAATAGTGTTAGATAAACCAGTATATAGACTTATTCAAGTGTAGAGTCAGAAAAAGAACAGATACAGGATTAGGAATCTATGGCTACTATTTCTCTCTCAACATGACAAAGATCTGTTAGATTTAATATCGATGTCAGTGCTATCAATTTCCACCGCTAAAGACTGTCAGAAAAACCTCTGAAAATGTCTTTAACAACGATTGGACGACGCAAATCTCCATAAACAACCATACAAATATCGTCAAACATCGAAAATCTAAACAAAGAAATACTAAAATAAAGAAAAAATTACCTTCTTCCTTTCTCTCTCTCTACACTGCCCACTCGAATTTCTCTCTCTCCCTCTCTCTCTCCCTCTCTCTCTCCTATGTTCTTGTCCCTCTCGCTTCTTGTGATGCAANAAGAAATGATATAGAGCAACAAATTCTCTCAGGAACAGGGGTGTATCAAGTAAGAGGCCCTCTTAAGAACAAGAAGAGATAGAAACATCGCTTTATGTGAAAACCCCCAAAATACGCTACTCCAGAACAAGTCCTGCAAAAACCCCAAAAAAAACCACCAAAACAACACAAACCCATTTCAGATCAGCCATTAAAATCATCAAAAAACATACACACTAAACAATANCTACTCCAGAACAAGTCCTGCAAAAACCCCAAAAAAAACCACCAAAACAACACAAACCCATTTCAGATCAGCCATTAAAATCATCAAAAAACATACACACTAAACAATAAAAACATATAGCCACCAAAAATATGCACATACAGATATAAGATACAGTAGGGGTTAAGAAAGATTTAATACCTTTTTGGCCTCAAACGCATCGAAACAGTTGGGAAAAACAGGTTGGTGCTCTCCTGATGAACACAGAGAAGTTGTTGTTGCATGCAAAGAACAAAGAACACAGAAGAACAAGAGAGCCAGAGCTTCAATGGAGCCCCAATCAAACTCAGTTCAGACCCTGCCGGCATAAATCTCTCCCACAACTTTTTCTCACAAAACCCACTTCAGAAATCTCAAACTAAGAGCAGGGAAGAAAAGAAAAAATAGGGTTAGATAAACCAGTATATAGACTTATTCAAGTGTAGAGTCAGAAAAAGAACAGATACAGGATTAGGAATCTATGGCTACTATTTCTCTCTCAACATGACAAAGATCTGTTAGATTTAATATCGATGTCAGTGCTATCAATTTCCACCGCTAAAGACTGTCAGAAAAACCTCTGAAAATGTCTTTAACAACGATTGGACGACGCAAATCTCCATAAACAACCATATAAATATCGTCAAACATCGAAAATCTAAACAAAGAAATAATAAAATAAAGAAAAAATTACCTTCTTCCTTTCTCTCTCTCTACACCGCCCACTCGAATTTCTCTCTCTCCCTCTCTCTCTCCTATGTTCTTGTCCCTCTCGCTTCTTGTGATGCAATTTGTTCTGCCGTTCACCGTTTCCCAAGCGGTCAAAATGCATTGAAGGGTGTGTATATATATAATGGAAACAAATTAGTATAAAATGAAATGAATATCTAATGGTAAGAGATAATTAAATGGAAAGTAATGAACAGTTGAAAAATGGAAAATTATGATGGTTGGCATGACCATTAATGTTTTTTATGAACCATACTTATCCCCCATGCCCTGCATGTCATGACATGCATATAGTGGAAGGATTAACTATTCCACCCTCGGGTAGTCCGCGTGGATTACAAACGATGATCGATTGGTATGCATGAAGCCATCGAGCCATTCATTGCATTGCGATGGAATGTACACTTCACGAGCTGAAAGAGAGCGTGCGTACTGGTTCTGGTAGGAGGTGGTAGAGTAATGCCACGATTTGCTAACGCACTGACCAGCCGTTTCTGTAAAGTGGAGCAGTGGGACTACGGCAAATTTTTATTTGGCCGATATTTGGGTTCTTTGCTGGTTATATTTACTATAGTGCCACTGAAATTCTGGCAAGAGAATGATAGAAGATGCAAAAAAAAAAAAGAGAAAGAGAAATTTTTTTAATTTTTTATATATTTGGTTAGCATAAAATAAAAAATAATGAAAAAAATAAATTTTTTTTATACCTGAATTTTCTCTCAACTTACCAACTTTTTTTCCTTGCAAAAAACAAAATAAATTGCAAAAAAATTGTGATTTATAAATAATTTTTTATTTTACTTTTATTTTTCTTAAAATATTTTGAGTTATTAATTTAAAAAAAATNTTTGGTTAGCATAAAATAAAAACTAATGGAAAAAATAATTTTTTTTATACCTGAATTTTCTCTCAACTTACCAACTTTTTTTCCTTGCAAAAAACAAAATAAATTGCAAAAAAAATTGTGATTTATAAATAACTTTTTATTTTACTTTTATTTTTCTTAAAATATTTTGAGTTATTAATTTAAAAAAAATATTGGTATCGATTTGATCAATAATATAATTTGGCCCAAAGACTTTCATATTGGTCCTTGTCAAGATTAGGTTACGAGCCACTTTTTCTTTTTTTAATTTTTTAACTTTTAAAAATAATACATATTTTTTTTTTCGTAAACCGGTTTAATATAATTGAGAGTAATTTAGTAAATTAAAAAAAAAAAATTAACTTTCCTTTCTTTCAAACAATAGAATGAATTTTTTTTAAAANAATTTTTTAACTTTTAAAAATAATACATTTTTTTTTCATAAACCTGTTTAATATAATTGAGAGTAATTTAGAAAATTAAAAAAAAAAAAATTAACTTTCCTTTCTTTCAAACAATAGAATGAATTTTTTTAAAAAAAAAATTTTAGCAAATTTTTTATCCTAACCAAATACATACATGAAATTATATTTTCTATCATTTTTATTTCTTTCCCTTTACTTTCTATCATTTTCATTTTTCATTAAGAATGTTCACCTCATNAAAAAATTTTTAGCAAATTTTTTATCCTAACCAAATACATACATGAAATTATATTTTCTATCATTTTTATTTCTTTCCCTTTACTTTCTATCATTTTCATTTTTCATTAAGAATGTTCACCTCATCCTACAGGTAGGAAATATTGTCTTCCATCTTCCTTCCCGATATTTTGCGAAAGAATTTTTTCTTGGTCTACCCTACCCGATCAAGTGTGGTATTCCTACCCGACTTTCTACCCGAATAATCGGGTAGAAAATCGGATAAATATTTTTGTAGCTATTAATTTTTGGATCATTTTAACAATTCAATTAAATAACATGCACCAATTTAACAACATAATTAATTAATAACATTAAAATCTAAAACAACTACAACAACAATTNAAGGAAATCGGATAAACATTTTTGTAGCTATTAATTTTTGAATTATTTTGACAATTCAATTAAATAACATGCACCAATTTAACAACACAATTAATTAATAACATTAAAATCTAAAACAACTACAACAACAATTACAATAAAACATAAAAAAATATGAGCATCAATCTATCATAATTGTTACACAAATATAAACAATTATTTTAAGTTTAAACCATATGAAACACATTAAGATCATAACTGCTTCAATAATTCACTAGTTCACCACAAATCATGTAACCTACACAAAAAACAAGTCCATATTTTCGCAACTCAAACATCCACAACAATAACAAAGTTATAATATAAATTATACCACATAAATATTTTTATAATTACTAAAAAAAATATTAAAAAGTTAAATATATTTTTTGCGAGTAGGGTAGAGTAGGAATGTTGAAATTAATAGGTATTCTGCATTCCTACCCTATTTAATTAGAATACTAAAAATTCTTCCGCATTTTTACCCGATTTTTGCGGCTAGCCGTTAAGTAGGGTAGGGTCGGATAAAATAAGAAATTACAGTCAATCGAAAATTTGAACACCCCTACTTTTCATCATTCTTTTCTTCCTAATCAAACAGCCCGAANTAAAAAGTTAAATATATTTTTTGCGAGTAGGGTAGAGTAGGAATGTTGAAATTAATAGGTATTTTGCATTCTTACCCTATTTAATTAGAATACTAAAAACTCTTCCGCATTTTTACCCGATTTTTGCGGCTAGCCGTTAAGTAGGGTAGGGTCGGATAAGATAAAAAATTACGGTCAATCAAAAATTTGAACACCCCTACTTTTCATCATTCTTTTCTTCCTAATCAAACAGCCCGAAGGTATTAACCCCTAGAAAAGAAAGTTTTCTTTTTTTATTTTTTAGGTTAAATTTTTATATTTTTTCCTTATGAAGAAATGTATATGCCAAACATGCATGCATAAATACTCATGTGAAGAAAAATAAGAAGTTGAGTAGGGTTAAAAAAATGGTTAGATTGTTATTTGAAAGTAAATAAAGAGTAATATTGATATTTTATTAGAGGAACGGTAAAATAAAATTAAATAAGAAATTAGAAGTAGACAC